TCTTTCATTTCATGCAAAGCCATTACTGTAAAATGCTTTGTGTGATTGTATTACTGTTAGCCACTCCAAAAGGTATCAGTATGAAGTGGTGATCTAACTTTAAACATTGAGTTCTTACATTGCAGGTAGGCTTCTAGGAACCTGCCTGCAGATACAGTTGGGACATACTTGAAGGAAGATTTTTCAAAAACTTTCAATATTAGCTTAATTCTGCTTCCAGAAGTCTAAGGTCATTTTTAATCACTGTTTCTGTCACAGGCAAAAGCAGCGTCTTCCAGTACATCAGAACGTCCCCAGACTTTAACCCATAGCATCTAAGTTTTTTTAACACATGCATTTCATATCCTCATTTTTAACAAAGTCTTACGTAAGTTTTATTCTCACTTTTAAACTGTTACTTTGGGCCTGAGCTGTAACATTCCAAAAATCAGCCATCAGCTTCCCTTTTCAGCACTGGAAAGCTTTGTGCAGGACCCAGAGGGGAAGTAGAAACAAAAGGTGGTTTTGCTTCTACTCCATTTGGAGATCCAATGGACCTCTGACAGCAAGTTCCAACTGCCTTTATTTGGCTAACCATCACTGTAGAAAGATCAACTAGCTAATTCTATACATTGAAGGGTATGAAAACTATTGAAAAATTCCTTCTACTGATAAGAACTTGACTGTACTGAAAGACTAAGGGTTATCAAGACTGAGGAGCTGGCTCTCCAAATCAACTGTCCCTTCACATGAGCAATACAGCTTATCTTCCCATTCTTGCCTCCTCTGCTTCCTTCCCTCCCAGGAAGTAAATAAGATAATAGTATCTTATTAGATATATATACCATTTATCTCCGCTGTTCTCACTTCTACTTCCTTTGACTTTGGAAAAGAAATCCGCTGCTTTCCAGAAGATCCAGAGACCTGAGAGAGATTCAGGGTCACACATACAGTTCTGCTGCATCCAGTTGCACTTCACCTCTTAGTTCACTTACTTAGATCTATTGAGATGAATCACACAAGTGAGTGAATCCTACACAGGTGCCTCATGGAGTACTTCCAAAGTTGAGAGGCTTCTTGCACACAGGAATTAGTCACTCACGCTTTTAGCTTCAAAAGGATGGAGCCGCTACTACATTTGTCACCTGTCATTTTTGCACAGATGAGGGAAGATATGCATGTCAAGAGTCTCCTTTGCACAGGTTAGATCCTTTTTAAATGCATTTATACTAAATGATTTTTTTATAGGGAACAAAAAAACCTTTCTGTGGAAGAAGTCATTAGCAGTCTCAAGTGTGGAAGCAGCCTAAGTGCTCAAGTTGTCTCCAGCAGTAAAGACGACACAGCCTTCTAAACAGCATTAAACATTTAGGGACATAAGCCACTAATGAAACATACTAATTCTTAAGCCACTAATATACGGAGACAAATGCGGTCTTACATACAAACGTAAGCTGGTAATGCCTTATGCGAGCCACCTTCAAAACAGATTAAAGCATACTTATTAGATGTATGGTAAAGTGCTTACTTAGGAAGAGACAGTGCATAAGCATGCTTTTTTCTTTAAAGTACAAGCGCACAGGTGGCTAAACAGGAAAATTCTCTACTGCATATCTTGCAACTTTATTACCAAATCCATATTTTTCAAACTCAAACACAAGTTAGAGTCAAATGAAACTCAAAGCTTGAGGCAGAAGTGAAAATTAAACTACTCCTGTACGTTTCATATGCAAAAAATACCCGCTTTTGACTGTCAACTGTTACATTTTTTTTTAAAGGTGGAAAATGAATACTGAATACTGAATAATGAATGCCGGTTCCTAGTTCATTTAGATCTATCAAAAGGTCAAGCACAGCCTAAGCCCCAGAGCCAAAAAAGAGGCATTGCCGTCTTTTGTTACTGCACAGGAGCTAACCAGATGCCATAAAAATTGCACCCCTCTAAAGCAGCTAGTTACATACAGAATCACATCACAAACTTTTTCCAGAGCTATTGCCATCTGAGAATAGCACATGGCCAGGTAAGTCCAGTGCAGACACAACTCATAGGTCTCACTTAAGAATACACATGCTCTCAGCACCTCCAGTTTGGTATATCCCCAATCTGAGGCTAATGCAAGGAAGAGGCACCTGCATGGTGGCCTTTCACTCCGATTAATGTCTTCTATCACCAGGTCTTGCTCTCCAGTTTTCAAAACACCTTTTTCTTCTCCAGCATTGTCACATATTAAACCCATGCAGTTTCAACATATTACTATGATCTGCTGATATAGTCCTGTCACTTTGGGATTCTGCTTGTGGATCAGAATCCCGTACAGAATCCCACACAGAACAGATACTATAAAACTCTGTTGCCACCAATAAGTGAATTGAACTTAGACCACTCTGTGGAAGCGACATTGACACATTGTGACTAAACAGTATATTAATTGAAGATCTTTATCAGCATGAAGCTTTTGACAAGAAATCCAATCTATCACGATCTATTGTTTCTCAAAGTAACAGTTCAAGTAATATCATACATACATACACTGGCAAGAAGGAAACATTTTCTGAGACACTCTGATCAAATAATTCCATCATGAAATGCTTATAGATACACTTGCCTCCCACCCCTCTATTTGAGCTCACAAAGACAATAAGGAGGGAGCACGTTTATGTAACTTAAATTGTTCTGAGCGAGCCTTTATTCTTCACATGCTAAGAATTACAAACAACGGTGTTAGGCCATTCCAGACTTAATGGGTTCCCTGGGGCGACATCATTAAGTAAAATGAAAAATCCAAATACGAAAGTTTATTTTTTTCAATGTATTTGACACCACCTTTGGGAAGTGAACAAAGACACACTGTCAAAAGCAGAAACCTGCACAAAATGTTACTGTGTGTTCCCCATGAATGCAGAGGTATACTTACTCAACGAAAGAAATTCCACTGCTCTCCTCAGATTTCCTCCCCTTAGTTGAATTTAGTGCCAAGTTCACTCGGCTAAAATTTGGGTCGTATTAGCATGCCAGATACAAGTTCCTGTAAGTCAGGTCTGTTACTCAGTCAAAAATTAAGTGCCAAGCAAAAACTTGGTCTTATATAGTAACTTCAAAGTTACATGAATTAAAAAATGACCATTAACAGACCATCCTTGGCCCATACTTTACACAATTCAAGCGCTGCTTTTAATTGAAAATACTTGGTAAATATTTTGTCTATTACGCAGCCTAATTTTGTGTGATTTCTCCTCCAGCTATGTCTTTTGGACAGGTTAAAGGATCACAAATTTCTACATTGCTCAAACAGTAACTACAGTATGGCCTCTGAAGTGTCTTAAGTTCCTTCAAAAGCTTCAGCTTCTTCTGAAGTCTCAGGTGACAAATTCTTTTTATATGAAAACCATCAATGTAAGACAAGTGTTCACTAGAGTGTGGTCAAAAGAACTTAGGAAGTACAGACAGGGTGACTGATCTGCAGGACCAGGGAAGCAGCTTTATATGTGACAGCAAGACAGGAATAGGGAAGATCTTAAACCAAGAGGAATATAATTTAATTATAAATGAGAGGGGAAAAAGAATAGAAACTGTCTCATTTGAAACAAAGTATGCCTGGTACCGAAATTCCCATGGTTTCAAGTGGATGCCTACATTACACTATCAGTATCTGCTACTGTAAGGAAGAACAAGCAGACTTAGATCCATGATTCTCAAATATCAGAATAAAACATCACTGCAAACATTACAACTGAACCATTACAACTTGGATTACTTTTTCTGAAAAACTCTTAAAGAAAATTTCTGATTTTTTTAGGCAAAATTCTGTATTTTTAACAAAAATATATGCTATATGAAATGTATCCACAGACTTCAGATTTTCTCTTTTTATCCAAAAATAAGCTGGAAAGCCTCTTACTAAAACTTAAATGAATTGGAAAGCCCCCAAGCAGCTTTTATGTAAAAGCACTGATCTATTTTTTTTCCTATGAAAATATAATCCATAACTACTGCTTTACATTAAATGTACAACTACTTTTAAATATGACCTGGGTTTTCAATATATTTTTGAAATAAACTAACGTTAGCGCTATAGCAAAGCCTGCAAAATGAACCATGCGGATCCAGGGCATGCGCTATGTAAGTACACAGCAATTGTGGTAAGCCAAAGCACCATTGCCTATGTGATCAGATGGACTAGGTATATATAGGCTGCCATTTAATGCTAGCCAATTGCTTAGAAAAGCCACAGCACTGAGCAAAAGATCTTCTGCTCTTCCAAGATTTTCTTCACTTTAATCGCAATAAAGAATAAAAATAGAAGGTAGAGGACAAAACTTTCTTTTGTTTGGGTTGTATACAGTTAACACTTTGTAATCAAAGAAAAAAAATTTGTTTCAAGCAGTACAATCAAAACCCAAAGAATCTCTGTAAGCCACAAATATCTTTAATAGAACTGTTACAGAATTATATTATCAAATTAAAGACAACTAACAAGCATGCTTACTGTCATATGAAATAGGCACATCACCAAGAAAAAATATACCACTGCATCAATAACATGTGCCTACTTTATCTACACAAGATGAAACCAGCAAGCAATGAGACATGAATGAATTGCTGGGAAAGTTTATTTTTAAACTCTGACATGACACAGAATATACTTTGCAATACAAATTCTGAAGTTAATTCATTAAATTCAGAACATTCAAACAGGTAAATAATTTCAAAACAGAACAATCACCAGTTTTGCTTTAAAATATTTAATGATTTCATTACAGCAAACTGAGAACAAACTATTAGATAAACAATTAAAACCCCACTTATACCAAAGTACCATCAGAATCATAGGTACTATTTTGAAGTTTGTAGAAGCAGCACAGTAATGCCTTTGCAGATCAGTCTTCATACTTCATACAGAGCATGCAGCAGAACTACTAGCAAACAGAAGCTGGTTTTCTCTGAACACTAATTAGAAACTCAAGAATGCAAGTCATGAGGGCAGGAAGAAAGACAAATCCTTAAGAAAAATATGACTTACCAGACAGATGAGTTTAGCTGTGTCTCAAATGCAGAGGAAGTAAGAAATTTCTGTATATGTAGATCTTGTTTATTTAGCCCTTTATGAAGGTTTCTCTCAAGAAATTAATTTAACTCACATGTGAGAGTCTGCAAAAGAAAACGAGAAAGAATCTGAGCTGCTGGCTGATGTTTTTATTCTAAGAACATTTGAGCTATTTTCAGCAGCAATGGGCTTGCCTACAATCAAAATGAAAATGCAGTACAGAATAACCAGCCTCCCAACCCAAGCTAAAAAAAGATAAAAAAATCAGAAAATCCATAGCAAAAAACTTTGTTCATTGTCCCAATTTTTATTTAAAGAAACAGAGAGCAGGGAACAACCACTGTGGATGATGAATGAAAATACTGTTTAAAGGAAATCTGGGACCTTGAAGACTATTACCTGTAGCTCAGGAAATGAACCACCATGGATATTTTTTTATGTGAAAAACACGCTTTCAGTTTGGTCATCTCTGAAGATGCTTTGCCTTTCTTTACACAAGGGCTCATCTGAGATGGAAGCACTTCTATTTGCATTTAAGTGCATCATATCTGGCTGCTATACACATCTGAGGACAGGACAAATCAGTTTACCAACATTGAAGCCAGTCTAGTTTGTATCTTAAGCTTCCAGTTTCAGCACCAGTGTTATTTTGGAAGCTTAGTGCCCTGAAGCTGCTGGCACTCCATTTTTTCTACCAGGGCCATTCAGTGACATGAAAAAGATCTCCCTGCCCTCTTCTGCCACATCCCCAACCAGCCAGCTTACCCTCCCATAATGTAAAAATATTGGCAAACGTAAAGTATCAATACAAACTAATGACCATAGGAAAAGACCCAAAACCATCTTGATGGGTACATAGAAGCTAATTACTTTGAAGGTAAACTAAGTCAGTGGAAAACCACCACTGTTATTTAACTTTTTGCAGCTTCTTCTGGTAGAGGAGACGCTTCCAAGATGTCCCTCTATATATCGCAGCAATTCTGACAGACACAACTTACTTTGCTTCACCAGAACAACCTTTCATACATGTCCACACTGCTAGGCACCGCCACTGAAAAGCTTGTTACTTTTGTTCAAGGAAAAGTTATGAGATATGAAGTTACTCTCTACTCAAAACCTAAAACAGGCTGGTGTGGTAAAATTACAAAATGTTTCAATATCCATTAAATTTCCAATCAAGTCTGCTTAAGCACACTCACTTGAAAACGTTTTTGAATGCCATGGGTCACCTAAATTTCTGATTTATTTGTGAACAGTAACTATTTGAAAGTTATACTGACACATGAAACAAGATGCCAGACACACAGGCTATTTAGTAAACCATTAAAATAGTAAAATTGTTAAGAACAAACACAAAAAGCCTGTTTGTTCCTGAAGACTCATATAAAAATCACTAGCTATAATACCCTTATAACAATAATGAAAAAGCTGCCGAGTGTGAAAATATACCACAAATTCTTTCTGGATTAGCTCAAAAGCATCCCTTCCATTTGATCCCAACTATTTTTAGTGTTACTGCAGTTAAAAGCAGCTACAACAACAAACACAACCCCACAAACTCTAAATACCAACCACTTAAATTAATCATTATTGCTGCTTCATTCCCAATGGCTAGTTTAGGACTATTATTACCACAAAACTAGTTCACAGAAGTTAAAAAGCTCAGTCTATATTTAACTTGAGATCCATGCACAAAGAGATTTAAGGACTCCAATAGCTTAAATTTCAGACAATGTATGAATGTGTGAATTATAGCCAGCTTGAGAGCTGTAATGGTCAGGTGGAACATGCAGTATAGTTCGTAAATAAATACAAGACCTGTATGTATCAGACAACTCGTGTCAGATGCTACGTTACCTTACTATCCATAATGCTTTCATCTGGTGGTTACAAGCTAAATCAACAAATATCTGTAGGCCAAATACTAATACTACGCAAATATGAAAATAGCAGAATGTGTTAAAATCATTATTAGCAGTACCAATTTACTGCTGAAGTAATACAACACACAATGCTTTGCAGCGCAGCATTTCTTTTCTGAAGCACTTTCTCAGAAGGCAGATTTACCAGTAGCTGATTTACCATCAGCGCTTAAACCATTTTGGCACCTTGTTTCTTCGTACACTTTCTGCAACTGTTTTTTGTAAATAACAATTTACCTATTAGTATTTCTAGCATTTACTAAATGTGACCAAAGCACTGTTTCGGCATATACTGAGATGTGCTTTAACTACTGGATATAAGTTGGATGACCTTTATCTACAGGAAACATTAGATGCCATAAATATCATACATACCATCTAGGTCTCAAAGAGAAATATATCTGTATGTTTATTAGTAAAACAGACAAATATGTCACTACTACCAAGATTATCACCTCATGCTTTTCAGAGACTGATGATAATCATATCTCCCATTTTGTTGCTATCAGCAACACTAAAATCAAGCATATAATTTCTTTAGTGGCACACTGCAGTGCGATTTAATCAATGGTTAGTATTAAGCAATTCAAACATGACCAAGAAGTGTACAGTTCACGCTGCTAATGTAGGTACTTGGTGCAAGTCTCCAAGAGCTCCATGACCAGATGCTACAGGACAGAGTTCTGATAAACCAGAAGAAAGAATCTTGATAGATGACAGAAAAATTGTTCAACGTGCTGATAGACGAAAGAGCTGCACACCTGCTCCACTGCACAGATTCATATAAAGGAAATCTCGACTTTTCTAGACCTAACCTTTCAAACACAGTTGAGTCACTGAAGCTTCACATGGAATGGCTGAAGAAGAATCCTCCTTTTGAGAAGTCTCCCTGTGTACATTTCAAGATATGTAGATGAACACTGTACAACCAGGTGTAATGACATTTTTCTTTGTATTATTCTATACGTGTTTCTATTTGTATCTTTTAATAGTAGTGGAATACCTTCTGGTAACATGATAATGTGTCTAAATGAATCGCACGTTACCTGCCCCAGGAAGAAACAAGGAGTATGGATAAGAATTTTTTCATTTTTTATTTTTTCCAAGTAACCATGTTTCTTAAATTTGAACTGAACTATGCCAGATAACATTAAATGCATTTAACATTAGAAAACGCAAGCACAATGCATGTCCTGTGCATTTGCAGAAGTCTCTTAAGAGAGTTCATTCACAAAACTGACCATTTCAGCCTCTGAAATGAGTATTTCCCAGATTACAGAAAAAATCTACAGAAGGACAGGAGGGAAGCTATCAACCACATACTTTGTCCTGGACTTCAGCTAGTCTTGCTGAAGAAATGTCTTAGACACATATGTTCCTGAAGGATCTTACAAATAAGAATGAACCTTTTTTCAATGTCTCAGGTGTGCTTTCAGTACCTTCCACTGCTGGAAAACAATGGAGCTATGAAGAATTGCGGCCATTCTCCTGGACAGGATGGAATACCTAGTTACACATGGATCATATAAACCACTACTTGTGGTTGTTCCTACATAATGTAAAATAAACAAAAACCGCATGGACTCATGCGTTAGCTGAACCTACTGCCAGGGATGCCTGTCTTCAGACAAATGCATCGTATGCCTATAAAGCCAAAGGATGAAAATAGATGGGAAAAGATTAACCTCCAGTGACATCAGTTTAATTTCTAAAGTTCAGCCAGATGTTAGTATTTTAGGCTTGGCATCATCAGATGAGTTGTAACCGGCCTTCACCTATGCTCAGTATGAACATGCTCAGGAATGAAAGGGTGACAATGGTCACAAGTTGATCAGAACACGTACCTGAACAGTCTGTTTCTTGAGAATTGCTTTGAGGTTCATTTCTTTGACAGAAATAGTCAACACCTCACTTAGAACATTTCTGCTCTATTTCGCTCACAAGATATTTACAATTACCACAAAACTACTAAAAAGTTATTTATTGATGGCCAGTTTATACTTTTTCTCCTACTTAATATATTAGGATCAATCATTATGTGTTAGCATAGGAAATCTGGTATAAATTTTCCACCAGTGAGAGCTTCATTTTTATATATAAACTTCTTTCAAGAAGAATAAAAAAGGAGCTGAGGTAATTTTTCTCCTACTCCAAAATTTCTAGGGCCTCGTTAACCATAAAAGCTTCTTAAATTCTCACTAGGGCAAATCTATGCACTGATCAAAAGCCACAGTAAACTTCCATTAAAGTACAATAATCAAGACTTGACTGAGGATTAACAGGTAGGAAATTTTTAGGTAGGAAAGCACTGCAGACAGCTTTCTTCTATATTAACAGTTCTTGCCCTTCCTCCCTATCATTAAATGCACTTGACATTCTAGCCAGCTTACTTCTAAATACATCTTGATGCCCTATGTCGTCATGCATGCCTCAGCCCCATGTAGTGGCGATAGCTTAAGAATTGTCATATTAGAATGACAGCACATATAACAATGACTACCAATACACATGCAGTTTTCTTTAGTTGGATATGTATGAAAAGGTACTTCAGAAATTTCCTAGACCATCATATGAAAAAGAAGAACTGAAAAGCCTTCAACGTTAAAAAACCCACATAAACAACAAACCCTGAATTTCAGTCTCTTTTACAGTTTCATTAGAGCTACACATTGAAAAAGATGGATCATCTATTGAAAAATAAATTGACTCAAGCTTTCAGAACATAGGATTCAATATTGCAAGAAAGACCATGTAGGCAGCCAAGTTACTGTGATAGTTACATCGGACACTTTTTCCTAACCCTAAAGAAAATAAGTTACCCCAGTGAACTACCCATGGTGAGTATGTTAAAATAATTCAAAAACTCACCCAGAGTGGCTACAATGCAGTCTTGCTCTTATGTACATATCTGTCCCAGCACACATGGCAATAGAATCTTTGGTCAAGACATTTCAAGAAGTGGGAAATGATCTCGATGAGGGGATCGAGTGCACCCTCAGTAAGTTTGTAGACGACACCAAGTTGGGCAGCAGTGTTGATCTGCTTGAGGGTAGGAAGGCTCTGCAGAGGGACCTGGACAGGCTGGATCGATGGGCCCAGGCCAATTGTATGAGGTTCAACAAGGCCAAGTGCCGGGTCCTGCACTTTGGCCACAACAACCCCATGCAGCGCTACAGGCT